CTTATTAACTTATTCTTGCTTTATTAATTTTATTTGCTCTTCTTTTTATAAGTTCTTGGTATGGAAGCTTAGATTATTGATTTGAGACTTTTCCTCTTTTATAACCTAGGCATTTAATGCTACAGATTTATTTCTCAGGGCTGAGGTAGCTGTTTCCCATAAACATTGATATGTTGTATTTTTTCATTCAGTTCAGTGTACTTTTTATTTCTCTTGAGATTTCTTCTTTAATCTATGGGTTACTTAGAAGTATGTTTTTTAGTTTCCAAGTGTTTTGAAATTTTCATGTTATTTTTCTGTTATTGTTTTCTAGTTTGATTCCACTGTGGCCAGAGAACATATTTTATATGATTTTAATTCTTTTAAACTTGTCGAGTTTTTTTTATGGCCCAGCATATATTCTATCTTGATATATGTTCCATGGGCACTCAAAAATAATGTGTCTTCTGCTCCTGGTGGTGGAGCATTGGTTGATGGTGGTGTTGCATTCTTCTATAACCTTGCTGATTTTCCCTTTAGTTGTTCTAGTAATTGTTGAAAAAGGAGCATTGAAGTCTCCAACTATAAGTACAGATTTTTTTCTATTTCTGTTTTCAGTTTTTATCAGTTTTCACTTTCTCTTCTTTGGTTCATACACATTTAAGCTATGTCTTCTTGCTGGATCAATTTTTTTATCATTATATAGTGTCCCAATCTGTCCCTGTTAATTTCCTTCTCTGTAGAGTTTACTGGATATTAATATAGTTACTCCTGCTTTGGTTTAAATAATATTGCATGATGTATCTTTTCTTTATCCTTTTACTTTCAACCTGTCTATATTATTATTTTTGAAGTGAGTTTCTTGTAGACAGCATAGAGTTCATGTTTCTGAAATCCACTCTACTAATTACTGTCTGTTAATGGCATAGTAAGGTCATTTAAATTTAATATAAATGTTGATGTTATAGGGCTTTGGTCTGCTGCTTGATTTTTTATTTTCTGTTTATTCTCTCTATCTTTAGTTTCCTTGTTTGTTTTTTCCTGCCTGTGGGTTACTTGAGCATTTTTTAGAATTCCATTTTCATTTATCAGTAGGGTTTCTGAGTACATCTCTTTGTATAGATTTTTTAGTGGTTGCTCTAAGTATTAAATTGTACATATGTAATTTATCAATCTATGGATGTCATTATTTTACCAGCTGAAGTATAGAAACCTGAGTAACCTTTATGTCCCTTTATCCTCACCTATTTATAATGTAACTGTCTTAAATGGTTTCTTCTACACACATGTAGACCCATAGCAGCTAGTGTTATAATTTTTGCTTTAAACAGCAAACATAGTTTAGAAAACCCAAGAAGAGAAGGAAGTCTATTTTATTTACCCATATTTTTGCTTATTTTCTTTTATGTTCTTTCTTTATATTTTTCCTGATGTTTCAAAGTTCATTCTTTTAGCATTTCCTTTCTGTTTATATAACTCCCTTTATCCATTCTTTTAGGATAGGTATGCTGATGATGAACTCTCTTAGTTTTCCTCCATTTGATTTCCCCTTCACTACTAAAGAATATTTTATTGACAGTATTTTCTTTCAGCACTTGAAAAATACTCTGCCATTTCTGCTAGGCCTCCATGGTTTCTGAAGAGAAATCTGCTGTCATTCAAATTCCTTTTCCTCTATAGGTAAGGTGCAGCTTTTCTCTGATAGCTTTCAAGCTTTTTTCTTTATTTTTAGTTGTCATAAATTTAATTGTGATATATCTTATTGTGGATTTCTTTGGATTTTCCTATTTAAGATTTGCTAAGCTTCTTAAATCTGTAAGTTTATTTCTTTTGCCAAAATTGGGAAATTTTCAGCCATTATTTCATTTTATTTCTTCCAACTTTATTGAGATATATTTGACATACAAAAAAACCCTGCACATAACTAATATATATAGCTTGGTGAATTTGGACATATGTATATATTTGTGTAACTCTCACCACAATCAAGGTAATAAATATATTCATCACTTTCAAAAATTTCCCTGTGTCCCATTTTTGTTAATTTTTTTGTTTACTTGTTTGTTTTGTCATAAGAACACTTAACATAAAATATACCCTCTTAACAAATTTTGAAACTGTACAATACCACATTGTTTCTTCTAGTGCTTTTTCAGCCCCAACCTCTTTTTCTTCTCCTTGTGGGGCTCTGATGACACAAATATTATATTTTTATTATAGTTTCACAGATTCCTAAGGCTGTATTCTTTTTTCCCTTGCCTATTTTCCCTCTGTTGTTCCAAATGGGTAATTTCTATTGTTCCATCTTCCAGTTCAATGATTCTTTCCACTGTCCTCTCCATTTTACTGTTGAGTCTATCTTCTGAGCTTTTTATTTATGTTATTGTATTGTATTTAGAATTTAAAGTTCTAAAATTTCCATTTAGTTCTTTATATCCTCTATTTGTTTGCATTTCACTTATTTCAAGTTTATTCATAATTGCTTGTTGAAACATTTTTAATGACTGTTTTAAGATCTTTGTCAGATAATTCTAACATCTCTGTCATCTTGGTGTTGGCATCTACTGATTGTTTCTTATTCATTCATTTTTAAATCATCCTGGTTCTTGATATAACAAGCGATTTTTCTATTGAAACCTGGGTATTTTGTATTATTTAAAACATCTGTTTAGCTGGGGCTTTTTTGACACCATTTCCACCAGGGGGATGTGAGGGACACATGCTTATTACTGACAGTAGGAGATAGAAGTTCAGGTTTCCCACTTAGCTCCCATTGACAAAGGAAAAGTTTCCTCATTACTTCTCAGTTGAAGTGACCAGCTCCCCATATGGTTTCTACTGACCCTTTGTGCAGGTAGCTTCATTAAAATACTGACTCTCCACTAGGGCTCTTCTGATACCACCCTAGTGGGAGTGTGAGGGGTACCTTACTGCTCTCAGATTGAGGTGGAAGTCCAGGCTCCTTACCACAGTGGGGACAGAGAAGCCTTAATGGCCAGAAGAGATGAAAGTCCCAGATCCCTACTTAGACTTCTTTGAAACCACCCCAGCAGGAATGCCTCAGTACAGGCTCACACGCATGAAAATCTAGGTCCCCTCACCCTTTCCTGAGAGGGTTTCTTTCCTGAGTGGGATTTACCTGGAGTTGAGCAGTTATTGTCTAAAAGTTTTCTGGCTTGTTAAGCTGACCATTCCCTGGTCATCTGGCTAGACAGAGCCGGCTTTTGTTGGGGCTTTTTTGTTTGCACCCATTGGTGTTTCCAAGTCACCAGCTTCTTTTGCTCCAAGTCTCTTCCCAGGACATCTTGCTTCCTGTCTGAGCCTGGGAGGTCTGTGCCCACATTACATAGGGCTGCTGTAGCAGCACTGTGAGGCGGTGTGGAAGGGCAGACTGCATGCCTGCTGTCTGCCTCAGGGTTTCCTGAACATGGAGAGAGAGAACCACAGTTTGCAGATAGGAACACAATGTGGATAACAGAGAGAAAAGTAATTTGTGCTTTCTTCAGTTATGGTTTCAGATATCATGTGTCCAAACTTTATTATTCTTTTTTGTTGTTGTTATGAGGAGGTCACAGTCATTATACACTCTCAAAAATGAGCAACTAATGTTAAGGAAAAAGAAAAAGTTAACCTATATCCTACCACCAGAGAGGGCTTGCAATCTTTTATTTTGAATATGTGCATCTAAATATATGTGCATCTATTATTCAAATAAAATACAATCGTTTCAAGTTTTGCATCTTGAAGTAATTTCAAACTCACAAAAAGTTGTAAGAAAAATACAAACTCCCATAATCCTTTACTCAGATTCACCAATTGTTTACATGTTGCCCCATTTCTGATAAGGGCTAATATCCAAAATATATAAAGGACTCATACAACTGAACACCAAAAATAATAATAATAATAATAATAATAATAACCTAATTAAAAAATGTGCAGAGGACCTGAATAGACATTTTTCCAAAGAAGACATACAGATAGCCAACAGGTACATGAAGAGATGCTCCACATTGCTAATCATCAGGGAAATGCAAATCAAACCCATTTCCTTTTTCTTTTTCTCTTTTCATCTTTGTATACACATACATATATTATATAGTACATACTATATATTATATATTTAATATATTACTTATATGATATCATATATCATGTTATATTGCATATTGTTATTTTTGATTTTGTCTTTTCTTAACCATTTGAGAGTAAATTGCAGACATGATGTCCCTTTACCCCTAAATACATCAGAGTATATTTTCTAAGAACCAGGACATTCAATTGCATAATCATAGTACAATTAACATTTGAACAATAATATTATCTACAAACATTGCCAAGCGTCCCAATAATATTTGTTTGGCAGGGTTTTTTTTTCGGGTCCAGTATCCAATCTGGAATCATACATTGTATTTAGTTTTCATGTTTCCATTAATCTGAAACAATTCCTAAGACTTTATGTATCCTTCTTGCCCAACATTTTTAGGGAGTACAGCCCAAGTATTTCACAAAATGTCCCCCAGTTTGGATTTGTCTGACGTTTCCTCCTAATTAAACTCAGAAAATACCTTTTAACAGGAACACCACTCAAGTGATGTTATGCATTCTCCATGCATCTTATAAGAGGCATTTGACATCAGTTTGTCCCATTATTGGCAATGTTAACTTCCATCTCCTGGCTAAATAGATATCTTCCAGGTTTCTCCGTTGTAAAGTTACTGTTTTCTCCTTTGTAATTAGTAGGTGACTTGTGAAGTGATACTGTGAGACTATGTAAATATCCTCTACCTCATGAAATTTTCACATACAAGTTTTAGCATCCATTGATGATTCTTGCCTGAATCAGTTGTTACTGTGATCATTGCAAAAAGGTTATTTTCTCATTTCAATCATCATTCTACATTTATTAGTTGACATTCTATTATAAATATTGGTTACTTTCTATATGCCTTCTTCACTTAGAAATTTTAATGCCTATTTTAATGCAATTCTGGCAGTAACCACCTACACTTATCACCACCTACACTTATCACAGACTCCACAGGTTAGGTCACAGCCCTCAGTGAGACTGCCTTCACCTCAGATGCCAGTCACACTTTGGGGGTCCTCAGGCCACCCACTATTCTGATCAACTAGCTACAAATTTGGGAGGTTCTCATGCCCTCTCAGGTTTGATAATTTGCTAAGATGGCTCACAAACCTCAGGCAAGTGCTATACTTGTGATTACAGTTGCACTATAAAGGGTACAGATCAGGACCAGACAAATGAAAAGACACAGAGCGAGGTTTGGGAGCATTTCCTCCCTACAAGTCTCCAGTGATATCTGCGGTGTCAGGTCCTGTGCTGGGTTGGACGGTGGAGGCACAAGTCAGACCTGGGGAGCAGACCCACTGCCTACCAATGAGAGGGAGGGAAGACCATCCAGGCAGAGGGAATGGCATTGCAAAGACATGAACAATGTGGTGCAGTTCTTTGGCATGGTCAGAACATCAGCCAGAATGTTACATGTAATGCCAAGTGACGGAACGGTAGAGAATGAGGCACCTTGTCCTGTGGGCCATGAGAGAGCAGAGCCCATGAAAGGAAGTGAGCAGAGGAGTAACTGCATCATAACTATGTCCCATAATTAGATTGCTGCACATTGTAGAGGATGCATTGCTGGGAGAGGAGGCTCAGAGTCTGGTAGAGGTTTTTAAAGAAAAGGCATGAGATGATGAAAATAAAAACTAAGGTGGGAGGGATGGGCACGGAGAGCAGGTGTGGATCACAGTGTGGAGAGATGTTCCCAGAGAGCCGTCAAAGAGGCCACACTGAGGTGTCTGAGACCCCCTCCTGGCTCTGGATCCCGCTGATCAGAAGCCCTGTCACTGGCATCAGCCTTCCTCCTCTTCCAGTCTTACCTGATTGATAATTTTCCCAAACAGGACAAGTCCAAGGAAATCCACACAAAGGCACTTTGTAATTAAACTTCTAGAAACCAAAGGCGAAGAAAAATCTTGAAACTAGGTCAGATGCAGTGTAGTTGATTTACAGAGTTAATAATAACTCTCTAAGTGTGTGCAGAACAGCATGCTCTTCATTAATGTGATATTTTTGCCAGGTTTTTAATATCAAAGTTATGCTGATTTCATAAAAGGAATTTTGAAGCTTTTCTTTTTCTCTATATACTGAAATGCTTTAGATAGCATTGCAGTTATCAATCATTTCTCTAAGGATTTGGTTGAATTCACTTATGGGCCTGGTGATTTCTTTGCAATTTTTTTCTCTCATTTTTACATCTTTGTTAAGGCATTCCCATGAAACTATCAGCAAATCAACGTAACAGACTTTTTCATCAGCCCTAAAACTTCCTTGTGCCTCTTTGCAATCCATCCCTCCTCCACACTGTTCCCAGGCAACCCTGACCTTTCTGCTATTGTAGATTAATTTACATGTTCTAGAATTTATGGAAATGGGGCCAAATAGTAGGACTCTTCCTTTGTCTTCATTCACTCAGCATAATTATTTTGAAATTTGCCCATGTGGTGTATATCAATAGTTGATTCATTTTTATTGCTGAGTAGAATTCCCTTGTATGAATACACCACCATTTGTCTATGCGTTCAGCAGCTAAGTGACATTTGAGTGTTTTCCAGTTTAGGCTATTTTAAATAAAGCTGCTATAAGCATTCATGTACAAGTCTTTGTGTGGACGTATTTTTTTTTCTCTTGGATAAATACTTCGGAGTGCAAAGATTGGGCCATATGGTAGGTGTATATCTGACCTTTTAAGAAACTTCCAAACTGTTTTCCAAAGTGGCTGTTCCATTTTACATTCCCACGAACAGTGAACAAGAGTTCTACTTGCTCTGTATTCTTGCCAACATTAGGTACAGCCAGTCCTCCTATAAGTTTTTGAGTGGTTACGATCTAACAACTCTCAATTTCTTCTCTTTACGTTATGCTTGGTTGCCTAGACCACAGAGTTGGAGGCAAAGTTTAGGTACCAATATGTCATTACAGGGTGCATGGTGGGGTACAGGAAAATGGAAGCCAATCAGGAAGGACAGAAAGCGAGCACAAGGTGGCACATGGCTGAGGCTGAGCTGGTCACGGCTGCATAAGAAAGCACAGTTGGTCACTCAGCCATGCAGTGTCTCCGAAGAAGCAACATGGATCTTAAAGAACTGGATGCCCTAGAGGAGTACATGGGAGAGGAACGGAGAGGAATTTATCCACTGACGGTTTTCCATCTCCCTATCTTTCATCTGGTCTGAATTTACACCATGGAGCCTTAACTCTTCTGAACATGTTGCATGGCTCCTTTGGACAGCTGCTGGTGGGGAAGCTAGCCAGATCTGCTATGCCCCAAGCACAGCACTTCACCTGAGCCTAGAAACAGGAACTTCTGTATGTCCACTTGAGTTGGACCAGAGCTCTGGGCTATGTGGTTTCTGCAGTGGAGGTCAGGCGGTGGCCATGCCAAAGCCCATACAGACTCTGTGGGAGGCTAAGCCCATAGCACACAGGAAATGAGCTGCTGGTGGGGCCAGGGCTCCCCTGAGCAAGCGAATGAGGCTGGAGTGGTGGCACAGCCAGTGGAGTTGAGTGAATCTGGAGAGGTCTGTGAGTTGAGCTGGGTACAATCTTGAAAGAGTTTAACATCCATTAGCAACTCTGGTTTTCGACAGCCCTGGCACATGGCAGGAATTTATAGCCCTGTGTTTCAGATGAAGAAATTAGGTCTTGCATCATATATCAGGTGGGTCATATGTTAGGGCCATACATCAGGTGAATGACACACTTGAGTCCTTGGACTCTGGTCCCAGTGCTTTTTCCATCTACTATGTAGGTGCCAGATATTCTCAGATACATATTTTGGGGATGATACTTTGTTTGGGGCACCTCCTGGAAGACAATGAAGCACATCCCGAATCTTATATTTGTTCTTTTTTCAGCCACTTTGGGGGATGAAGCAGCAAGAGGTCCAGATAATGAGGCTGCCATTGGGAAGGAGATTGGGGATTTGGGGGCCTAGTCCCATGAGCTAATGACTGTTCCCCCTGGGCCTCTGTTTACTCATTCAGCAAACTTTTGGTAAGAGTGTTTGCACTGTGTACCAGCCATTGCACTAACTGTCTGTAAGAATATGAAAATGAGTACAGTGGTGCCTGCTCTCATGAAATTTCTAATCCTGACCCATATTATATGGGAGAATCATTATTGTATATCTCACAGGGCTGTGGGGAGAATTAAATGAGTTAGTATGTGTAAAGCACTTTGTGCCTGCATGTCATAGATGTTCAGTAAACATGATGATAACAAAGACAGTGCCGACGACAGCAACGCAGCCTCATGGGAAGCACACCTCCTTAAGTTGCAGTGTGTGAGTGGGTGCAAGGGGTGGGCAGTACGTCCTGTGAGTCAGGAACACATGTTGACCATGGAGTCAAAACTGTAATTAATTATTAGCTTCTTGAGTAAGGTGGTCATCTTCTCTGGGCCTCAGCCTTCTTATCTGTAAAATGGGACTTCAATTTTGCTCTTTTGAGGATGAAATGAGACCATTCCTATGAGATGGATTGTTTGCAGAAATTGCCCCAATTTTTTCCCCTACATCCCTGCCTCCTGTCAAGTGGTAGAGTCTCTCCTCTCCCGTGAACACAGGATGGCCTTGTAACTTGATTTGGCCAACAGAATATACCTTCTTCCTTTGAGTGAGTGTACCTTCTCACCCTGGCACCTCAACACCTCCATATGAAGAAGCCTGAGCTAGCCCGAAGGATGATGACAGACACAGGGTCGTCCCCGCTGACCCACTGACAGTCACCCCCAGGGGCGGAGCCAGCCTGCCCACCTGCCTGCAGTTAACCCCAGTCACATTAGAAAGGCCACAGTCAACACCAGAACACCTGCCCGACTGAGCCCAGCCTGTTACCAACCCACAGAATAGTAAGTTAAGTAAATGGTTAAGGATATAAGTAACTAATTTTAGGCTGTTTCATTACATAGCAGCAGCTAATCAATATAACTTGTAAAATACTTAGCACAGCAATCACAGCTTGGTTGATGGAAGCCATGCCAGTGATGGTGACAGCGAGGACAGAGTCCATACCCAGGCCACTGCTGAGAATATAAGAAACGGTGGCTTCATGGCCTCTGCCCTAAAGGAACTCATGGCATTATATGATTCACAGGGAAGGAAAGGTAACAAACAGTTACCTCCAATGAGCTCTCACTTTATTCTTTTTCAAAGTCTCCACCAGTTATGAAGATCTCAAGCCCCTGCTAGGGAGACATGTCCTCATGTCCACTGGGAAGAGCTGTTGACAGGTTCTAAGCTGGGAGTGGTGGGTAAGAGCTAGTTTAGACAGCCACGCAGTGAGCAGGAAGGGCCAGAGAAGGTGGCCTAAGGGAGGAAGCATGACAACGCCAGCCTCCTTTGTCTTCTCTCAGTGCCTTTGCACAAGCTATGCTGGTGCCTTCCCCCACTTCCCATGTCACCTGTGCTCATGACTTATACTTACATATGTAATATATGAGTGATGATTCGATGGGTATCTACCTCTCACGCCAGACTGTGAGCTCTGCTGGGTCTATCTTGCTCATTGCTGTCCCCAGAGCCTGCAATGCCTGGTGTGTCCCAGGCATGAACAAAATAGTTGTAAAGAGTGAAAACCCTTTGGGGCAGAATATCCATGTTCATCCAGAATCTCTCCATCCTGAAATGAGGAGAGAGAGGAGAGAGAGAGGCCATAATCCTTAGAGCTCTTCCCTTGGGAGACAAATTGGTCTTTTCCTGGAAGTGTCCCCTAGGGTTCTTGCATCAGCTTTGTACCCAGAGGACACATTTAATCTGGGCAATAAATAGTCCATCCCACCAGCCCTGGTGGATGAACGGAAGGTCCTTAAGGAGAGACCAACACTGATGTGGAACATCAAGTTCCCCAACCAAAGGACACAGAATTCTCCTGCAGGGTTTTAATCATCTATTTGAACAAGGAATGCTTTTCCCAAGCCTTGCTTCATAAACAACTCTGTGAACAGAGGCAAACAAACAGCCCCTATGTAGACATCTGACGTCTGGAAGATTTCATCTGGGCAGCAGCAGGGAGATTTCACAAAGAAACACACAGAGCTGAAAGCAATGAAAACCTTTGTGGCCTTATCCTATTGTCCACAAATAGGACAGTCACTGACATCTCTCCCCTTCCTCTTCCAGAATCCCTCTTCTCAACTGGAATTCCTGGCTTACATATAACCATTTGTGGGCTTATGCATCCAACTTTCCATCTCTCCCACTTGATCATAAGTTCTATGAAGGCAAGGAAAGATCTTGCTCATCAGTCAATTCCCCACGCACATTTCAGTGCTTGGTACAGAGCTGGCTCCATAAATATTTTCCAATTGGATAAACAAAGGCAAAAGGGCTGATCTGCAAGTGGATATGGAGGGGACAGTCTGATAATGGGCTCATGTGTATAGAAAGGTAAAGCTAAAAGCATAGTAGAGAAACAGAGTGGAAGCTGATGAGACTGGGAGCCTCTGGATCAAGCCATATCTGAAGCCCTCACCATCACTGGAGTTTTCAGTTATTTGCTCCAGGATATTCCCTTTGTTGATTAACCCATGTGCACACAATGACTTTTACATAAATGTTCATAGCATCTGCATTCATAATAGCTAAAAACCAGAAACAGCCTAAATATCCATCAGCAGGTGAATGAGTAAACTGCTTGAGATACATCCATATAACAAATCCATACAATGGAATTACTACTCAGCAATAAAAGGGACAAAGTACTCATACATACAACAGTATAGATGAATTTCACAGACATTATGCTGAGTGTGGTAAGTCAGATTCAAAGGACTGCATGCTGTGTGGTTCCATTTAAAGGAATTCTAGGATCACATAACAAAACTATGATGAAGGATTCAGGTTAGTGGTTGCCTTTGGGGAGGTGGGGAATGACTGGAAAGGGACATGAAGGCACTTTCTGAAGACCTAGAAATGTTTTATATTTTGATCTGGCTGGTAGTTACATGCATGTACAGGTATGTAAAAGCCATCAATCTGCATGTTTTACTGTATGTAAATTATATATATAGTTAAAGCATTGTATCAGATTCTCACAGAAGTCCTAATTCTCTTGGGTTTAGGACTCTGGGGTAGAGTACAGCTAATTGTTCCTTGTTCCTCTGGGTTCCTTTGGAGGTGGTGTCTTGTAGCTGAAGGGGCTCTAGGATAGGAATCCACAGATTTGGGCACCCGTGCAGCCAGGCAGAGTTGTAGGGGAGCAGAAACTAAGGATAAGCACAGGAAGCCAGCTGGTAGCAAGAAGAAGCAGATGCACATAAAAAAAAGAAGGAGAGGGAGGGAGAAAAAGAGAATGAGAGAGACAAGACAGAGAGACAGAGACCCACAGAGAGAGATAAGGAAAGGAACATAGATTACTGCCTGTGGCCCCAATGAGGTAGCCATTTGCCTTTTGCTGGATTTTCAGTGCTCACTTCCACATCCCTGCAAGGGCCACCTGGATGCCATACTCATCTTTGAGTCTCCCCAACCCCCAGCTCTGTCTGTTCCCAGTGAAGACCTGCTTCCCTTGTGCTGACTTCCTTATGTAGCCCTAAAAATCTCCCCCAAACTCTGTGGTCATTCCTTCTCTGTGTGTTGACCTCACCCCAAGGACATGGAATGCTGCGTCAGGTTCATCCTCCAAGTTTCCACACCACACCTGTCCCCAGCAAACGTGGGTCAATGGGGAGAGCTGATTCATTAACTCACTGTTCCTACCAAGAGGCATTCAAGGGCACCTTAATATACTCACACCCTTCAGCTGCACAGCCCCTGGGCCTTCCTGTCAAGTTCTGGTTGTGGGGCTGGACGAAAACCGATGGGAACGCTATCTGCCCCTGCCAGGGAGCTGTGCTATTATACAGGACAGAAGGGGTGATGAAATCAGGAAGCCCAGGTCAGAAAGCAGCAGAGGGTACCCTGCGTGCTGGCCAAAGCACAGGTCCTACATGGGAACGTCAGTCACACGGTGGGCCCAGCATCATTTGGGAAGTGGGGCTTGCTTGGGAAAGAGGTGCAGGGCTAAGACTGCGAACAAAGCAAAGGCGTGGGAGACCTGTTGGGGCTGGTGTGCCAGGGAGACCCAAAGGTGGACATGGTGTGTGTCTCCTGCACAGTTTCCCAGCGATCATTGAACGTGGGGACCAAGTGGCCAAAACCAAGAGCCTTTTTTCTGTGCCTTCCTTCCAGACAGCTAAAAGGCCCATGTTCTCAGCTGAGTTGATTAACTACTAAATCATCACACAAGAAGCCCAGTTTAAGACTTAGAGGATGGTACTAAGTCTGGATTTTGCTAGAACTTCTCTCATCCACTGCCAAGACAGTTTCCTTTGAGGACAGCGCTAACCATATGTGGGCCATGCCTAAATCTGGTATCCAGAATGACAAGGAACGCGGCCCCTTCTAAGGATTGATGCTGGCCTAACAGCACACCCTTGAGATCTGGGACTTTCCCATCTTTTTGTTCCCAGACAGCCCCATCTAAAGCCCTAGACCATTAGGAATGTGTTTTGCCTGGGTTCCGGGAGAGACACTAATGAGGTCTGAGCTCTCTTCCGTTCCCTCTGTCTGGGATGTAGTGCTGACTGTGGGTGGAGGAAGTCTTGTGTGTGGTTCTTGTTTGCACCTTTGGCAACCCTCCAGGAAGAAAGGAGGCCAAGACTTGGTATCTGTTCTAATAGAAGCTGCTCTGGGGGTTCTAATAGATAGGGAGATGGGTCTCTGGAGAACTGGGGAGGAAGCAGAACTAGTTTTACTTCTCCCACCTCCACCTTCAATTCATGCCATTGCCTAAACAGCCTGTCTTGGGGTAATTAAAGTCTTGTTTTTGATCAGATTCTGGTCTACCACTCACTCCCTGTGTCACATGAGGCCACACACTTACCATTGCTGTGCTTCAGGTTCCTCATCCAGCTGTGCCTCTTCCAACTTGGTGATTCCAGGCCTCTCCAAGCTCCAAACCTACCAGTCCTCTGAAAGAAATCAGTTTTCCTGGCTTTTCAAAAACAGAGGACATGAACTGATACACAGTTTTCATCTCCTCTCCCCAACAGTGAGCTGTGGTCTCTCAACAGGTGGAATTAGCGTGATGGTCCCCACTAGGCTGCAGAAAGGAAGAAATAGCAAGCTTGAAAGGGATTTGCAAGCTGAAATAAGCAATGCAAATACTTACAGCAGTGTCTGCCCCAGACTTCTCCCAGGCACCACGTGCTGTATCCCACCATCTGCCTGTTTCCCCACAGCGCCTCTGTACTCGGCAAATGTGTCTTCCCTCAACAGGGCAGCTGCGGTGGCCAATCCGTACATTCAGAGAACTTTGGGGGCACCTGGGCCTGTGCTAACTGGTATGCATGTGTGAACACATCCACTTTAAAGATGGGAAGACTGAAGCACAAAGAATTAGACAACAGGACTCTGAAACTCTCCCATGGTTCTTACTGCTCTCTGCTGTGCCTGACTGGTGTGAGCGTGTGTGCTGCCATGTGCATGTGTTTGTTAGTATACATTGTATTGGGTTTTCTGTGTGCATGTGTGTGTGTGTTGCAGCGGTTGTGCTGGGGTGTATGTTGTGTGTGTGTGTGGTGGTGTGCCCATGTGTTACATGTATGTGTGTTGGTATGTGTGTGTCAGTGTGTGGCGTGAATGAGCTACTACATTTAAAGTCCTGGGCCTGAAACATAAGTTCTTTATAAATGTGAGTCATTATGAAGACTTAAGACTTCTAATGTTTTTTTACCTGATTTTCTTTATCAAGGTATGATATTCAGTAAAGCACACAGATCTTAGTCATAGAGCTTGACTGATTTCTGCATGTACACACCTGCATGTAACCACCTCCAAGTCAAGACATTGGGCACTTCAGCTCCCCAGCAGTTCCCTCCAGATCAGTTCATCTACTCTTCCGACTTCTTCATCATAGACTAGTTGTGTCTGGTTTTGGACTTCACCCAAATGGAACTAAATAGTGTCTACTCTTCTGTGCCTGACTTCTTCAGTTCAATATATTGCCTGTGAAATTAATCTATATTGTGTTTAGCAGCCAATTTTTTCTTGTAACTTGCTGTGTGGCATTGCATTGTTCATACAATTTTTGCCTACCCCAAGATCATGAAGATATTCTTCTATTATTTTCTAGATTTATCATTTGACTGTATATCTATGATCCATCTCAAACTGATATTTGTGTATGGTATGAGGTTGGTTTATTTTTTTCCTCATATGGACATCCAGTTAAGCTAATACTATTTACTAAACAGGACTTCTTTCCCCAAATAAATTATAGTGCATTTTTGCTGTAAATCAGCTGATTGAATACTTACTGGTCTCTTTCTAGGCTCCTTATTTTTTATTTGACTATGATTATGCTGTACCACATTATCTTATCATCTGTGGATTTATAAAAACTCATGACATCTGGTAGTCTAAGTCCTTCAGCTTTGTTCTCTTGATATTGGCCTTTCCTATTCCAGATCCTCTGGGTATCCATATAAATTTTTAAATCAGTAATGCCATTTTGCTCAAAAATATCTGCTGGGATATTGGTTGGGTTTACATTAAATATACAAATCTATTTGGAGACAATTAACATCTTACTAATATTAAGTTGGCCAATCAATGAACATGGTATACTCCTCAATTTATTTAGGTCTTCTTTAGTTTCTCTGCAATGTTTTGTAGTTTTTAGCATAGAGATCTTGCTTTTTCATTACATTTATTCACAAATATTTGATGATTTTGGATCTTACTATAACCTTTAAAGATTTTGATTTTCTAATTGTTGCTAGTGTATAGAAATTCAGTTGATTTTTGCATGTTTGGATCTAGCAACTTTGTTAAATTTACTCATTCCAATAGTTGTAGATTATTCTGGATTTTTCCATGCACAATATTATCATCTCAAATAATAACAGTTTGTATGTTTCCTTTCCAATCCTTAATTGGTAGAAGCAGCAGTTTTATTTTTATTTTGTAATCATTTTATTTTTATTTCCTGCTTTATTGAAATGACTGGGTCCTAAACCTACCATACAATGTCAGATAGAAATGTTAGTGATAGACATTCATTTCTTGTTCTATCCTTCAGAGAAAAGCATTCAATATTTCACCACTAATGATGACATTAGCTCTGTGTGTGTGTGTATGTGTGTGTGTGTGTGTGTGTAACAGATACACCTAACAGATGGAAGAAGTTTTCTTTGATACTCTTTTTCTAAGAGTTTTTCTCATGAATGGGCATTGAATTTTAACAAATATTTTTCTACATTGTTGATTTTAACTTGCATCTAAAGCTGCAGCTCATTTGCAGGGAAGTAGTTTGTGGCTGGTCTCAGGCCAGAGGTTTCAGAGGGTGTTGTGCCCTAGTGGGAGCTGATGAGATGGCTGCAGGAGGGCCAGGAGTGTGAGGTACTCCCAAAGAAGCAAGTCGTGACACTTGTGATCACCCATCTAGTCCTTGAAGCTTCTGTTCATTGTCAGTGAGGGATTGGGATCTGTTTTCTGAATGGACATCAGTCCCTTTTACACAACCCTGTGCCAGGCACTATGTTAGGCATCATAGAAGGGACACATGACACAAGTACTGACTCTCCAGGATCCTTGAGGGTCCCCATGCGTCATGCCTTCATGCAGCTCTTAGGAGGAACCAGATTTAGGCTAGAACCAGCAGGCCAGTGTCTCCCTCCTTCACTCCCACAGCATCTCCCTGCCAGGCACCAAAGACCCTTGGGAACAGTTGGACTGCATACCAACAGGGAAAAAGCAGTGGAAAAAGTATCAAATGATCCCCACCCTCGCCCATTTCATCCCCTGCCCAGTTGTCTTGTGGATTCTTGGCCTTCCCAATGCGGTCTGGGAAGACTTAGAAAGTTTTCTTCCAGAGCCCCAGGAAGCCAAGAACAGGAGCTGCCCCAGGCCATTTCTGTCCCTGGGTCTCCTTTCAAAGGATTTCTGGATAGATGAGAGAGATTGTGGCTTGTGGGCAGTCAGTGCAGAAGGCCTATCGTTTCAGATTTCTGCCTTGGCTCAAAGATTCAGACTCTAATTCCCACACTAGATGCCCCAGTCCTCTGGGAAAAATGGCCTTGCCTCCGAGGAACAGCAGCGACACTTGCTGCCTCTGCTGCCTCTGCTCGTCTCCCTCACTGCACCCCACTCGTCAGCGAGCCTCTGTCCCAGCCGGACTAGTGCCGAGGTCAGGAATCTGGGGACTACAAATGACAGGAACATATGGCAAACTAGCTCAACCCTCGAAAAGGGGGGAATTTACTGGTATACAGATCCAAAAAGTCTAGGCAGTAATGGTTTCAGGTGCTCAAATGTTGTCATTAGGAGTGTGATCCTCTCCAGCTCTGGCTCTGGTTTCTGCCAAATGGGCTTTATTCTCAGGCAGGCTCTTTCCTTGCAGTGGCAAAGAAGACCCAGCATACATCCTCCCAGTGTGGGTACTGCAATGGAAATACAACACACCTTTTCCACAGATGAGGCAGAACCCCAGGAAAGGCTGTCATTGGCCCAGGCCAGTTCACAGACCCGTATTGAGAATTAGCCTCACTGGAGACATGTGGCCTGTGAATGCGAAAAGGGTGGATCCCGAGAGGGGAAATGGTCTGCAGCAGCATTAAATGTGCCAGGCAAGCAAAGTCACCAGGTGCCATCTCCAGCTGCCCCTGCCTAACTCCATGCCTTTGTTCACATGGTTCCCTTTCTGGAATGTGGCACCTTTCCCAGGTGTTTCCCTTCCTTCAATCTTCACCTCCCCTGGAAACCTACTCTGGCTGTCCAGCTCACACAGACCTCCCCCTTCTTTAAACTCACCATGTGTCAGTAGTCTATATATTTGATTTTACTTTAAAATGAATATAATATGATTGCTTTCTTCCCATTATATCAAAATGATACTTCTTGCCCAAACAAGAAAATACAAAGATGAAATCCCATAACCCACAGAGGCTTCTCTGGGGAGGTAACACTGTGCCCAGACCTGAAGCCTGAGTAGAAATCAGACAGGATAGGAGCAGAGCCAGGAGTGTTTCAGGGTAGGGAGCCAGCACACGTGAAGACTCCAGGGGTTTGAGGAGGTGACAGCAGCTCCGCAAGCAGACAGAGTGAGAGAGGGTCAGGGGTATGGCAGGAGGCTGGCAGAGCCTGGGGGCTATGGCAAGAAGGCTGGCTTTGATTCTATGTGACATAGAAAGCCACTGATGGATTTTAGTCAGGGGTGGAGGGGACAGCATGTTCTGGCTGACATTTGGGGCAGCTCTCTTGGCTGTGAGTGGAGAAGGCAGAGGGACAGGGTTGGAATTTGGGAGGCCACTGTAGTCACCCAAATTAGAGATGATGCTGGTTCTGCCCAAGTAGGTGGCTGTAGCGAGGGAGAGAGGCAGGTGGATTTGGAGGGGAAGTTAGGGTTGGGGAGAGCGATTAAGTGATTTCTAGGTTTCTGGCTTGAGCAGCTGTGTGGATGGGGTACATTGACTGCCATGGGGAAGACGGGGATATCAGACATTCTCTCTAGATGGACACCCAAAGTGGATTTATACTCACATTTTACTTAAGTTTAGTGGAATTGCTTTAATTAGTACTTTCTTTCCCCACTCCACTGAGCTCTTTCCATATCGATAATATATCTGCAGCATGCTGGCAATGCCTGCATACTCTTCCATATATATTCTATATAATTTTTTTAACCAATATGCCCAAGGTAGACTCTTCAGTTGTTCCTATACTACCCATTTAGTGTTTGATTAGCTGGCAGATTGCTTTGTTTCTCAGCCCTTTGTCCCTTTGTCTCATCTGCAACTTTCCCAAGTCCCGGAGCTGCAACCTCTCTGGACCTTCACTCGGTGTCTTGCATTTTGACCGCTAGATGGTGGTGTTGCATAGAATCCCCTGTGCTTCCAGCCCACTCCAGTGTCAGACTGGATGCGCAGGACACCCAAACTCCCAGCTCTCACCTCCAACCAGAACAGGGCTGCACAGCCTTCCCTAGAGATGCATGGGTGGGTGGACTTCACATTCTCAGTGCCTAGAGAAATCCTGCCCAAGGGGTGACCTGCTGCTCACTTGCAAATGGATGCTTCCTTGCTTCGTTCCCTATAGGAATGA